CGGCGGGGTCGAGCAACGTACGCAATGCGCACAGAAACGAAGGTGCAGCNGTTTTGTAACATCGCCAACATATCCGGTACGCGGTGGCAGGCTTGCCGAGCACGAAATGAAGGGGGGGTCGCATCTCACCATTCAACTAAGCATGCATGTGCTCGGTTGAATACTCGGTAGCGTGCGAGTTTACCCCTATCAGGATGTTTGTTTGCATATCCCCCCAAGCGAGAGGGCTTGCATCTATGCTGATGTTCGTTCCAAGAAGTGAACTGAGGACTGATGCTACGGTGAAAGATTTGCACGTAAATTCGCCCGTGCAATAAAACGCCCTGTAACTCGCTTACGCTAATCTCACATTCCAATATGCCACTGCACTTTCCTCTCCAGCCTGGCCACATTCTCTTCCTCGCAAACGTACTTGGGCACCTTACAATCCAACACCATACGTGCTTTGAAAACGCGGGCAGCTGCTTCACAAGGACCCCCCTATTTTTATATAGGATGCCAAAAAAACATTTTAGAAGATTTGCTGATCGTTGCTCTTTTTGTTGGACGACATCGTAAAACATGGCTTCCGGGTTCATGTTCGTTGCGTACGTTGTTAAGTCGTACTTGATTACGGTTGCAACAAACGATAATAGCTGAAAGCGGCCGAACGCAGTCTCAGCAATTCGGCAATTCTGTGCATGCTCGTAAACCTGTTGTACAATCTTACATGGCCTACACAACGCACTCTTTCACATCACTCAAATCCTAATCGAGCCAAAACCCAACTCCGACTCACACACTGACAGCGCCGACATTTGACGAGGAGCGTCCAGATCTAAAGAACAACTTTCAAAAGCTTCGCTACATCAAGGATGGGGCTGCCAAGGAGTTTATCATCGGTGTGAAGGTAAAAGGGGGAAATCGGGCCGGTTGTGGGAGGTCAAAGTTAAGGATTGTCGTAGGTGTGAGGGCGGGATCTGGGGACTTCAGGATTGTCGAAGGTGTGAGGGTGAGGATGGTACCAGCGAGGAGAACCAGAGTCAGAAGGATTTAGAGCGGGGAGGGTTGGTCTTTTGCGGATGGGTGTGAGTGTAGGATTGTTGGATTGGATTGTGCGTTGGAGATACTAGTTTTTATTATACCTTTGTGGCTGTTTCGGCTGTGCTGATGAGGGAGGCAGGCAGACAGGCATTGCCGCGGAAGGCTTTGGTAGGTTACAATTACAGCAAGTTTAACAATTACACGTGTTGCCCTCCTCCCCCCCTCCA